GTCCGAGAGACCCAGCCCACAGCTCTCGAGTCTGTATACGCTAACTCTGGGCAATTCCGTCCAAGTACAGAGAGAAATCCACAAACCCTGTTCTTAAATGGAGAGATTCCTCTTCTGCAGCTGACTAGAGACCCTCCTTAGCCATGCATTGGACACCTTCAGCACAAGCCCATGGAGCCCCTCTGTGCCTCTCTCTGGCCTTCTGTTAGCAGCTGGTGCGTAGCCTGCGTGTCTGTTCCCCGTACCCTTGTGTTCTGTGCCCCAGGTTGGTACAGGGCACTGGTTTCAATAAAGTGCAGGCTTTACCATCTCTCCAGTCTCCTCTGCCAGAATTACTAACCAGCTTTTTATTTCATGTCAGTGGATTGTATGTCAGGCTTCTACTGTGGTACTTTAATGGGGGAGACAGTGACATTATTGAGACTATAGCTGGTCAATTCGGGCACTGCCGGTCAGGTCAGGATTCCAGTCTTCTGTGCTGTACAAGGCCTGCCTGGGGGATCTGTCCCAATGAGCCCATCTTAGGGACCTCCAGTCCCTGGCTTCATTGGAGCAGTTGTTTAGCTCTCAGATCTGTATGTTTTAGCACCCCCCACCCCCCCAAAAAAGGGTGGGGGGGGCCTGAAGAGGCACTTCCCCTATTCAAGGGCATGGTAGCCATCCTGCTCCATAGTGAATACAAAATCACCCTATGAACAGAGGGGAGGGTACGTGGGTCACAACAGTGTCTCTGCCCAGCCACTGCTTAGGAGACTCTGAGATTAATTGGTATCTGGAATAGAGGAGAGAAGCTACAGAGCTGTGTTTAATTAGGACAAGCTTAATTTCCCATTTTGTGTTTGCCAGAGTCCCTGTGGCATAGCCCCTTTCTGTGGCTGCTCCGTCCCTTCCCCTGCTGTACATCGCACGATTGCAGTGTGTGGCCTCGAGCCAAGACCCACCAGAGCAGCCCATTGTCATTAAGGAGCAGGAGTCCCCAGAGCTACCCTGGCACCTGCTCACTCTCATTGTTCGCTGCACTGGATGGCAAGGAGAGATCCTGCGGCCTGGGACGCTCATGGCCTTTTCAGATCCCCTCGATGCTTTGGGAAGAAGCAATTATGGCTGTTGGCCAATGCAGGTTAACTGTTAGCGGCTGCTTTACCAGGGCCTAACACCCCTAGAGCAACAAGGAGCGTGGAAGTGACTACCCAGCCAAGCAATTGCTCCTACCCATGCCAAATGTGTGTGTGTGCGCGCGTGCAGCTAGGTTAGCAATAAGGGGCCTTTACCTCTCATTCTACTTATTCCCTGGCTTTTGCTGCTCCACAGCAAAAGAATGCCAGTTCTCAAGCTGTTGTGCTAGGAAGGAAGATTTAATTTGGTTCTAACCCCTATAAAGCTGTAGAAGAAAAGGGGAGCCCTCCCCAGCCGCTGTGCCTTTCCATTTGCACTTTTTGCTTTTTTATGTAATTGCCCAAGTGCCTCCCCAGTATCACTAGTGTAGTAGCCACATCAGTGGGAAGAGTTTTAATTAGCACTTTGGTACAGTAGCCCTCCGCCGAAATGGTTGTATAGAATCGTGATGGGTGTGTTTAGGAAATCTCAGAACACTGCGAGGGGGGGATATTGTATGTGTCTTTATGAAATGAAATACATGATTTGTGCCTGTTCTGGTTTATATATATATAATCATGTTTTTCCCATAAATTAATTATTTCTAAATTGTATTCTGATTTTAAGCCTGGGGCAATAATGCAATGAACCTTTTTTAAGTAGTTGATACTGTAAAATATTAAAGGAAAAAGCCCTGCTATTATGAAACTGGTTTTTTTGTTTTGTTTACATAATTCAATATAATAAATAAAAGCACGATTAGTTGCACCCTGATATTTCTGGTCTCCCTTTCTTATCGTGGAGATAAAAGTCACCCTGGAGAGAAGCATTTGTTTAGCAGGGTTTTCCCTGAAAAGTTTATTGAAGAATGATGTTTCACGTACTGCTGTCAGCGCATCCTGTGGTTCCTGCTTTGATTAAGTTAAAATGCTGACCTCTAACAATGCTCCGGGGGGCAGCCTGGAGTCCTTAGTATAGGGCTTGATGATACAGAAGCTGTTTTGTTAAACAGGCCTCAGTGGAGCTAGGGACTGAAACGAGGTTTTCATTTCCTGTCTTGCTCATTTCTTTACCACTTTCTCAACATCTGCTGCTCATTGGGGCTTATCTGAATCTAGGTGACAAATGAGGGGAATAACCCAGCCAGAGCACCCCTCGACAAACTGCCATGGTCTGAGACCATCACACAGAACAGGAAATGGGAGGATTTCTGTCAGTGACTTGCCCTAATTAAACTGAATCTGAGAGGCCAAACAAATTCAGCCTTTTGCTTTCTCATACTGTGCGACTGCCGAGACCAGCGACCCAAAGTGCAATTGCAGGACAGCCAGATGAGTGCGACAGACTTGCTGTGTGAGTCAGGACATTCCTCACCCTATGACACGTACAGTCCTTATCCTTGTTTACTCCCCATATGCACATGTACCAGGGAGGCAGGCATCCTTGCCCAGCTTCTGATGGGCTGAGTCAGGAAGGCCATGTCTCTCCTCTGCCTGTCTGGCTAATTTCCTTCAAAAGAGAGCGCTCTCCACTCTCCTCACTTCACAGCAGATTGTGCGACAACCAACAGCAAAGCCATGAACCCAGGGACTTTAACATGATTAAGACTCTAGCACCACGAATGTGTTAAGCCCTCTATCGTTAAGGCAAATCCAATTATTTTCCAACGGCATGAATCATTTGTGAAAGGGGTCTTACACACATGGGCTGCTGCACAAAAGACTCTGCTACAAGCGGCGTCCATGTAATGGATGGTCAGTGCATTTTATTTCATCAGCACAGTACAAAAATAAATAAAAATAAGGGGAGGGGCTAAATTACAGGCACACGGAGCTTCATGACAGTCGGTCAGATTATAAACCACACATACTTACAAACACACTGTACACACATACAAAATGAGACAAATATAAATTAATAAGTAACTATACCCACCAGTTTGGTCAACAAAGATCTACAGAAGAGATTGCACTAAAAAAACCAACGTACAGATACATGTATCATTAGCAGTTTCAAATGTACATCGATGAAGAATTTCAAGTGAAAAAATGGCACGTTGTTTTCTTGTTTTCATTTGCAATTTTAACAACTGTTGGAACAGAACTAAACTAAGAACTGTGCACGGTAAGAAGAACCTATCAATCCCCAGCGCTGATGAGAAAATGCCAGCTCAGATACTGAACTATTTTGTGTTGTGGGTTTTTTTGTTTGTTTGTTTTTGTGCATGGGTGTAACTTTTACAGCCATCAGTTGTAAGATTGTTTTTGTTTGCTGAAGACACACAATGCTTCTGTTTGCATGCACAATATCACTGTCAAAGCCATGATGAAAGAATAAAGAAGGGTTTTTTGTAAGTTAGTATTTTTTTGTTCTAAAAGTTTTCTTTATAGCAGCATGTAAATTTCTTTCATTGCTTGCACACTCAAGTATATCAGTTGATCTGTAACACAATACTTATGATCAGTGCACAATGGGAACAATACATTTCACATTGATACAGTAGCATTTATTTCCCTTAATCCAGAACCACTCACGAAACGTGAATCTCATTTCAAAATAAATAAAGGGGGGGAGGGGGAAGAGAGAAGAAAACACCTCTCCCAGACACAAAGCTGGAATCCAGTCCGTTATTCCAATGCCTCAAGGGACGTATAGGATCTGACCTGTTCAGTCCACCTTAGGAACAAGGTGACATCACACTGCCACATTTTACACCATCCATTTAGAACAGCAACTCTGCAATGGAGGGAGCTGAGACAAATATGTACAAAGACCAAGAGGAGAATTTATTTTTCCCCTGCTTTTGCTAATAGGTCTTCCTTTCCCCTCCCACCCATCAAGTGGCTGCGGATTTCCTTTCTTTCCAGCTCTGGCTGAAGAAGTGTTAGCTTGTGGTCTGGTGTTTGTTAATGGCTCAGCTTTAGAGCAATGCAGGCTCTCCCTTCATTTGCAAGTCCAGCTCCTCTCACGTCCAGACCTTTAATTTCACAGCTTTGTTCCTCTACATTTCAAAATGTGCTTGCTGCTAATTTGAGAAGCAAGTACAATCTGTTCTAACCCTGTTAAATACAAAGCCCACCCTCCCCTCCCCCGCTACCAGAATGCCAGCATCCTTAAACCTAGTGTTGGATTTGAAGACGCCTATAGAGATTTCAAACCAGTCTGTGTCTGCAGCCATATTACATGCAATGAAACACTAGTCTTGGTTTTCCTCAACATCTGGCACTGTAAGAAGCTATAAAGCCAGAGGATAAGATGACCTGTGAGCTTCAACCCAAAAGTGAATTCACTTTTCAGTAGCATTAAAGTGTGTGTTAGCATCTAGAACCAGGAACCCTGGTCTTCTAAATGACATCGTTAACTCAATCAGTAGGATTCCAAGGAAAGAAAAGCTGCATTCCTATTTCTAGTGTAGGCTGTAAGGCCCAGTCCCCTCTGCCCACTTGGTGATGAGCTTTTTCTTTCTGAAATTATTTTAACAACCTCTTTCTCCCCTACGTTTCCATAAACATGCTGTACCCGCACGCTGACATCAGAGGTAAACAGCAGACATAAATAGGCCCAATTCCACACAGAGTGATCAGGTAGACTAGGGAAAGCAACTGATAGTGCCATTAAACCCTACACTAGGACACATCACTACAGACCACTACTGCTGCAGTTCAGAAAACATGAATAGAATAATGTCCACCACTTGTGACAGGACCAGGGTGGGCTGCAGATAGTCACGTTACTGACTAGCACAGAATTATTTGCCATCGCAAACCAAAACAAAATAGCCACAGGTGTGGTCTCACACCAATCCCAACCTGGCCACCTCACCTCTCGGTGCCTTGGCTGGTGACACAGCATTCCAAACTCGCCTTAGACATAGGCTGCAGCACTGATCATGAATGATAATTCTATGCCTGTGAGGAACTGTTTTGCCTGCTCAAAATTGGGCTTTCCCGAATCTGGGAATTTTGAGAATTAACTGTGTGAGCCACCAATGCAGAGTCAAAGGTGTGTGCAATTCCACCTCTCCCCCACTCGCCTTCCCAGCTAACTACACGTTACATGCAATAAGTCCCTTTTGGAGTTTGATACTGATTGTTTTTAAGGTTAATTTTCTTCGTTTTGTGCAGCTCTGAACCCCTGCCAGCTTTAAAGCATTGGATCCCTTTGTGAAATGCCAGATGCTCAAGACTCCATTGGATTACCTCATCCCCACACCACCAGGCCCTTCAAGAAAGGAAAGGCCAGCATTTCCTTCACACCATGTTTTGAAGCCGCCTGTTCACAAGGGTGAAGCCTTCTGCGTGGATAATGCCTCTGGCAGATACTGTCTGGGCAAAGGGGCAGCCAAGCCCCCACTGAGCACTGGGTGCTATGGCCCAGGAAGTGGAGGGAGCAATGGATCTCCAGGCAGTTACAGAAACCAAACGGATACTGGCTACAACAACAGCTTCACACCCACCCCTGTGGCTGCAGCGCCGCTGGAGGCCAAGCCGGGCTGCAAGTGTTCAAAGGTCAGTGCTGCCAGCTGGGGGCTGGGCGGCTATTTCCAAGATCCACCCAACCGCCACCTGTGTCTGACAAATCAAAGCACCACAAAGGTGCCCCGGTCCCAGCGGCGGGGGGCGCTCACCGGTCCAGCCCGATGAGGAGCCGGCTCTTCTCCTCCTGGCTGCACTCGTTCTTCAGGTCAGCAAACACCTGGGTGAAGTAGTGCGGGTCCGCGTTGATCTGCAGCATCTTGGGGCTCATGAGGGTGATGATGGAGAGGCAGCGGTCCCAAAAGGCCTCCTTGCAGCTCTCCACCAGGAAGGGTTTGAGCGGGTAGGAGATCTCGTTGCCCATGTAGGAGTAGGAGAGGTACAGGCAGGTCAGCAGGCCGGCCTGCAGGTCGTGGTCGGTGGCCACCTCGGCGGAGATGACATCCCGGCACAGCATGTAGAGGAAGACCACGTTGGCCGGGGTGATGAAGCCCTGGTCCTGCCAGCCCTGCAGGAGCAGCGACCTGTCCACGCTGCGCAGCCACAAGACGGGGTCCGTGGGCGAGAGGTGCTTGAGGCGGTAGCAGCGGCGGCACAGGAACTCGCCCAGGCAGCGCAGCAGCTCGCTGGTGGAGGCCTGGACGATGACCCGCTTCGGGGTGCCGGCCGCGCTGGGGTTGGGCGGCGCTTTGCGGCCGGAGGACGCTGCGCTCTTGGCGGCGGAGAGCGGCGGCGGCGGGGCCGCGGGCTGCGCGGGGGGCTGCGCGAAGGTGGAGAGGTTGGCGCAGGACAGCGACTTCTTCAGGTTCTCGCTGTTGAGGTGGGCGACGTTGCTCTGGTAGCCGCCGCTGGGCTGCACCTTCTTGGAGTGTTTCTTCTTGGCCGAGACGGCGGCGATGCGCTTCCAGGGCAGCGCCGCCAGGATGGGGTTGCGCCGCAGGCTGCGCTCCTTGGCGTTCTTGCTGTTCTGCCCGCGGTGTATTGCCCCGCGCCGGCCGCGCCATCCTCGCACAGCGGCGCCTTGCGGTAGCTGGGGGACAGCGACAGCACCGTGCCCATGGCGCCGCGGGGCGCCCGCCGCCTCCGGCCCTGCAGCGGGGGGACAACAGCCGGGATGGGTCCCCTGCGCGCAGCCGCCTCCCCGCCCTGGCCAGCGCCGGCTGCACCCGAGCATCCGCAGCCTGGCTCGGCTCCCCGCCGCCCCCGCCGCAACCTCCCCCGCCGTCCCCCGGCCCGCTCCCCCAGCCCCCCCCCCGCCGCAGCTCTCCCAACGCCCCCACTCCCCCCTCCCCCAGAGCCCCCCCGGCCTGCTCTCCCCCCGACCCCCTCACCCACAGC